TGTACTGCTAGATACGTCGACGACTGCTTCATCGTTACCAAAGACACTGATGAATTAATGAAGCTCCGACAAAACCTAGCCACTGACAAAACCATCAATTTTCTGGATGTACATATCGATGCCAACAACAGCACATACGCCATATATATATATATATGTATATCAGCAAAAAATGAACTGGATATACTCCTAATTGAGCAATACAAAGTAATGAAACATAATTTAAGTGGGACGTTACAGAACTGGTTAATTTCACTAAAACACAAATAACACATCTAAAGACTTTTAAACATATTGATAATTTTCTCCAAAAACAACACACTGATATTTTCAATGCCACATTATTTTTTGTATGTATAGTCAACATATCTACATGATTCCACATAAACCAGTTTGTTCCATTTTTTGGTGTATGAAAGGTTCATTCATTAAAAACTTTTGTAAGATTAATGGAGTGCACCTACCAAGGAAAGTAATTCTGAAAACAAATGGAATTACAGAAATTCTCAAAAGTTAACATTTTCTTACACTGAAAATGTATTTCTGAAAGGTACTTATCTCTTCTCACATAGAGGTTATCTTGATCATTGACTGCCTTCTCTAAGCTTTGCTAAAATAATTTTAGTAATCAGTGCACCAGTCTTTATACCTCACCAGTCTTGCTCCATTCCTGAACATGTGCATATCATGTGACTACTCTCCACCATTAGTATTGCACCACCTATAATGGCACAATTAGCTCCCTCTACTAGAATAAAAATACCAGTTTTAGTGAGGAGGAAGGGTGGGAAGTGTGTGGGAGAAGTACTATTGGAAATATGTTTTCAGTGTAAGAAAATGTTAACTTCCAAACTGGACTTACTTCATCTCACACAAAGGTTAGAATCCCACATTGCAAAGGTGGAGGGCTGGTATAGGTGCACAAAGAACAAACCAAGCAGAAAATGACAGGTCAGAATGAATGGGTGTGCTTGAAGTGGGGTACTACACTACTTCTGTAACAGGTATGCTCTTCATCTAAGATTTAGGAAAGTAACACAAAATGGGCAGAAAAGTAATGCTTACACAATTGTAAGAGCATTAAAAAGGTGCAAGCTGTATCAACATATAATAAAAAAGAAAATGTAATAACTACAGATGGCTAAAGCACGTGGACAATATTATTGTTACCCAACAGCCCCAACTGTAAGTAAACAGAGTGCTGTACATCAAGCAACTAGAGCTATGAAGAGGAAGTGAGCAAATGGTTGTAACTGGACAAACTCCCAAAACCATCATGAGATCAAGAAGTATGAGAAACCAAACCCAGCATTATGGGGTCTTGGCACTACCTCGACTCAGTTGTAAGAACATGTAAAGCTGTAACTGGTATTAGGGGCAAAATCATACCTCACTTAGCTGTAAATGCAGGGTAGGGAGATCCTGTATTCGTAATTACGAGGAGGACAAGCAGCATTTGTCCAACCATAGGTACAGAGCATGGTTGTCCCACTGCCAATATTATGAGGCAGATGCAACCAGAATTAACAAGAAGAGAAGCATCTACTTCACACAACTGTAGGAACAGGGCATTGTCATCCTGAAGCTGATACAATGAGGAGGATTCCACGTAGGCTGGCACCAAATAATATTGATTTTATTGGGGAATCAGTTTTCTCCTCTTTTCCTGAATGAATAAATAAGCATAAGTATAGTAACACTCAGGAAGAAGTTTCCATGGTCCACCACCCTAGCAACTGGGAACTGAGAGTGGTAAAGTCTCCCATGCTCCCCTCGAAGAAAAAGGGGGAGGGGGATAAAAAGACAGTGGGAAATCCGAAGGAACATCACACAGGAGAAAGTGTAATGGATGACTGTGTTTCTATATTTTGAAAAGCAGACCGAACCCAAGGGTCAGCAGGGATAGACAGAAATCTCCTTCTGAAGTCCATGAGTGAGGATCCGCTAAAGATATAATTACATTACAAAAATATAAATATACACCACCAGGGAAGCACCCAGTGGGCTTACAGAAACACCCCAACTCAACTTTGAATGTTATATAGTTACTGCATTTAGTGAGGTTTGAAACAAAGTACACCTGACCAAGGCAACACCCACCACTAGGTGGGATCTGTGAAGAAGCTTAGAGAAACTGAAATGAAAATATAAAAGAAAGGAAATGAGCAGACGTACCCCAGTTAAAAGCAAACAGGCGTGTGCAGAATCACCATGGGAGGAAGACGATATTCACCAGAGGAAAAAACAGCCAGATCATGCAGATAATGAATGACAAAGGTTTTGATAGTTGTCCACATACCAGCCTGGACCAGCTAAAGACATGGTAATGTGACAGATTTGAAGTGAAGAGACATTGTGGAGACAGCGACCTTCCATGGACAAGTCTGAATACACCATCCTGATGAGTTGATGAACCCAACCAGGGAGAGTTACTGGAGATAAATCATGGGAAACAGAAGTGTTCCAAGGAATAAATAGTCAGGAGTGTGAACCTCAAAACAAAGCAGTATAAGTCACATAACACCTCAAAGATTGAACCAAATAAAGAAGCCTATCTGGACTAGAACAGGAGTACAGGTGAGAAATCAAAGGTAAGGAAAGGGGTGAGAATAACAAACCATCTTTCCGGGGCCACATAAGTCTTAGGCAGGAAGGACCAGTCAGGATAGAGGATCACACAAGAGGAAAGAAAAAGGGAACAACAATATTAATGGCATAAATATCGAAATGATGGCATGCACAGGCAAGGAGAAGAAGGAAATAGGTCTTAAGGGAAAGATGGTACAAGGAACATGTAGCAAGTTGTTCAAAGGATGAATGAGAAAGGGCATAATGGACCACATTAATATCCCAATCTGGTATAATAAAGGGTCAAGCAATATGGAAGGAACAGAAAAGGAGGAAAATGACAGGAGAAGAGATGTTATGGAACCAAGAAAAACAGAAGGTGTTCGATAGGGCCACCCGATAACTAGGCAGTTGAAATGGACATGCTTTGATCAAGTAATCAGGTGAAGAAATGGGAAAACTGAGGGACAGGAGGGAAGGAAGACACAGCAACGAGCCCAATGTCAAAAAGTTGACCAATTCTGTTGGTAAATGGTCAAGGAAGAAGGTCCGATGGTTTGGGAAAGGAAAGATGCTACACGAGGAGTCAGTCCCTGAGCTGAGGCAAGGAACTAGCCAAGTGTGAAGACAGAGGTAAAGGCAAGGGACATTGCACAAGTAAAGGCCAATGCAAAAAGAACAAAGGAGACAAATATGGAACAACCAGGAGGATGAGACAAGGAATGGCCTGGATGATGGATTGAACTTTGGAAAGGAGTTGGATCAGAGGGTAAGCATTGATGTGAAGACCCACCCAATCCTAACTGAATGTGTCTACACCCAGAGCTGATGGGCATGGAATGGGAGACCAAAGAAAATGGTTCAAAGCTCTCAACAATGTTGATGTGGAGTGCAAATTCCTCTACAGATCACAGACTGGAAATCTCTTGAGAGTTGAGGAAAGTTGTAAGAAGGGAGTGGGAGGTGAAATGTCCTGAATGGGTGTAGACTGTGGCAGACCAAAAAAGGAAGGTGCTAGAAATATTTTCTTTCTCGTTATGGTAGGCCTCTTCAGAAACATGGTCAAGTGGATAAGGAGAAGAAATCACCAACCAAACATAGGACTCTCATCAGATAAAGTCAATCCCGTGTCCAGATAAGCCGTACCATGTACATTGTTGTCTATGGAGGGGGGGGGGGTATATTTTTCTGCTACATTAAATCTCAAAATCATATTAAAAATGTAGAATTTGGAAACGAAAGTTTAATTGAATGCAAAATTGTAGAAACAATTGCAAACAAACACAAAATTAAAAAAAAAATTGACATTAAACTTTAAAAAGGTAACAAAGCACAATCAAAACTGTAGTCACACTCAGAAAAATTACACATGTCTACACAATGTCATGCCAATCATGAAAGTGGGGATTAAGCAGGAATAATTTAGGAAGCTAGTTGTGCTTTATAGGTGGCACAATACTATTGGTGGAGAGTAGTCACATGATATGTATATGTTCAGAAATGGCACAAAATTGGTGGGGTATAAGTACTGGTGCATTGATTACTAAAATCCTTTTAATAATCCTTAGAAGGCAGCGAAGGATCAAGATAGCCTTTGTTTGAGAGAAGGTACATCTGTTTCAGAAGCTACAAAATTCCTATCTGCACTACTGGACATTCTTAATTTTGATTTGATACATTACAGGAAAGGTAACTAATCAACAGCATCAACAAGCTCTTAGGATACTTTAATTGAAGAATAGGATATAATCATCACTCTTATAATGCACAAATGAACCAAAAGTGCTGAACACGATTTTATGAAAAGGGACATGAACCATGGACCCTAGGATTCATAGTCCAACAAGATAACCACAAGCCCCTTCCCCCAAAAACTACATTCCTTCTGTTCAAAAGAAAATGCTATCAAACAGCAATATGTCAAACCTGCTGGTGTTGAAAAAAAATACCATATTACTTTTGCTAGCTATGTTTGTGTGTGTGTTTACATTTCTGAAAGTATCTGAGAAACAGGGATTTCATTTTTAATTTTCATCTGATCTAAATGAGAGAAGTTTAATTTGACTTTTGAAACCAGAGTATAAGGTAATGGTAATTTTATCAGTTAGATGGATTGTAATAAACTACATTTTGTACTGTATTTCCTACATAGGTAAAACTTTAATTCATTCAACTTTCAAAGAAGTAAATTTGCTTTCTCTTTACTCACAATTTTCTGCATTAATTATCTATTCTTCACACTTAAATCTTTTATTGAACAAAATATTTCTAAAAATGTAAAAATTACAAAGTTTATTACAATATTAACACCATTTGCAATCTCATCATTAGGTGGCACTTCAAACACTCAAAATATGTGCAGCAATTAAAAAAAAAACACACCAAACATCTGATACAGCAGCAATTTCTAGATGTGAGAGCTTATGGGAAACAAGTTATTTTTGTATTTGGCCTTATTTAAAATTAAGAACAAATCGAATAAACCACTTCTAAATGGATCAAACCTCTGAATCAATTAAGTTTAAACTTTGCAAAACTATATTGTACCAGGCTTTGAGCTTGAGATTTTGGGACTGGTAGATATTTTAGATTTACAAAGAAAACAGAAATTTGCAAATTATTGCTTTCAGTTTTATTTGCTCTGTTTAACAAGTTCCTTATACCACCGAGAGTTCTACATGTACACACCGAACTTGCTAAACCTAACTCACTAAGGATAAATGAATAGTAACTTACTTGTGTTAATTGGATTCTTTACAAATACTCTAGTAAATTTGATTTATCTATCATTTCAATATGGATCATTAGGGCTCAAATGCTTATCGACACTAACTTTTGTTTCAAGTATGATTTTCTTGATTAGGCTACAGTAATTCTTATTTTCAAGAAAAACATTTTAACTAAATCAAAATACCTTAACATCAAGACTTTTAACAAGCAATTACAAAGGATAGTTAACAAATATTTATGTAATAGAACAGCACAAACTTGTGACAATGAATTAATTACAAAACAAACATGTTACTGTAAAATATTTCCAAAACTGCAAAAAAAGAGAGAAGAAAACAACAACACTAAGGTAACTGTAACAAGAACAGAAAATATGTTTCAAGTTTCAATGTGGGAATAATACTGGAACACCTATAAATGGGTTCACACCATGTTAAAGCTTTTTTTTTTATTATTTGCAAACTTTTGATTCTGTTCCTAGGCTGTCATTAGGCTAACTACATTATTCAATTAACTTACAAACAGAATCATAAATCTGCAAATTAAAACAAAGTGTTAATGTGGTGTAGGATAACTTAAAGGTGCTTCAATATGTTAAAGTTTCACAAAATTAAAAAATTCCAACAAAAGAAATTAAGTAATCAGCCTTAAGTCAACAGAATAAGCTTTGATATATCTTTAAAAATATTTGTTAAAGATTTAAATAACGTGCTCTAAGATTAAAAAATAGAAAATAAGTAACTGCAGAAGAAAAATAAAAAGCATGATCCTTAGAACAAAAGGTTGACTGGTGTAACAGTTGCTTCAGTGACAATAATGATATCCAAAATCTACTGTAAAAAGTTTGAATGAAACAAATGTTAACATAATATAACAAAGTTTAGGGACAACATGGGACCTATTGGTCCATCTCGACTGTTATATCCTCTAAACTAAATTAAAATAATTTAAAAATCTTAAAGCCAGCCCTTATCATTCATATAGTTAAAGCTTTTTCTTAAACTCACTTAAAGTTACTGCCTCTACAACATCTGCAGGCAACCCATTCCAAAGGCCAACCACCCTGTTAGAAAAATGTCAACACTATCAATTCCTTTTACAATCTTAAACACCTCAATCAGATCCCCCCTAACTCATCTGTTTGCAAGAGAAAACAATCTAAGAGATTTCAATCTCTCCTCGTATGACAACCCCCTCCATCCCAGGCACCATTCTAGTAACCCTTTCCAACAACTCTATGTCCTTTCTAAGTTAAGGAGTCTAAGACTGAACACAATATTCCAAATGTGGCCTAACTAGTTACCTGTACAATGAAATTATAAACTCTTTAAACTTGTATTCAATATTTCTGTAGATACAACTTAAAATTCTATTTGCCCTACCACTAGCAACAGCACATTGCTTGAATGGTTTTAGAGACTGATCAACTATTACACCAAGATTCCTTTCCTTCATAACACTATTAAGGTTATTGCCATCCAAATTATACTTTACTTCAAATTATGATAACCCACATGCATTATTTTGCATTTATTATAATCAAAACCCATCTGCCATTTATTTGCCCAACTCACTATATCATTTTGTAAATCAGCAGCCTCCTCTTCACAGCTAGCAACACCCAAGACCTTAATATCATCTGCAGATTTAAGTAATTTATTGACTATTCCTTCATCTATGTTAACAGCAGTTTCAGGTACAGAAATGAAAGCCATAGAGTTTTAAGTTACAACAATGAAACTGCATATCTTTAGCATTAATTCTAAGTTAAAAAATAATGAAATCAACAGAATAAATCTTTAAAATAATTACTGCAGATCAACAGTGAAACCATAGACTGAAGAACTGAATTTGAATAACATACCTGTAGCAATAGTTAGGTGCTGACCAGACAGTAAGGACAGTTTCATTAAAGTGCCACTTGTATCCCTCCATTACTAACTGATGTGCCCTGCATATCATATCAATGTTATTATTAGCATTAAACTGATTAACAACATCACTCCCAAACAAGTAGCCTGCACCTCGAGGACTTACACCCCACCCCTGTGTGTCTGAAAAAGAAAAGAAAAAAAGTTCAACAAGTATTATTTATGTTGTCAATTTGGACATAAAAAATTATGATTTTTTTAATGTTTCAAAGAATCAGTGAAAAAAAAATTCAAACACATTTTTTCTATACTTTGAGTTAATGCCAACTTTAGTTACACGGCAGACTTTTTAACACATTTGCTTTAATTACTGTACAATTTCATTTTTTATTAACTGCCCTTTCCAATTAAACTCATATTTGAAAATCTCAATTTGCTAATATAACAGATTAGAAACCTTTAGTTTGTAGCTTTGAGTAGCGATTGTATTATTACATTTCAATTGAAATATTTCTGTTTAAAAACTTTTATTATGCATATAAAAATTAAACAAAACTGATCCACACAGTCTCAAAGAATGTGTTGCTTAATTGGATCATATCACATTACTTATTACTAAACTGTAGTTACTGAAGACATAGGTTATGGTAATAAGGATGTTAAGTAAACATGTTTTAGAGTGTATTAGAAAATATTTATCACCCAAAAAATTGCTTCAAGCTAAACAGAAATATTATTTTCCATAGCTTTATACATAAACCTGCAAAACTAAAATAATATTTAAGAAAATGGTATCTCAAAAACATCAATAAACGTTGTTTAAGTAAAGTTTAGACAGAAGACTGTACTTGACTGGAGACTTCTGTAGCCTGCATTGGCCTTATACATTTTTTGGATGACATTTTGAGGTGCTAGCATCTTTATTCATCAAGTTGATGAATAAATAAATGTTTTTCGTCACGAGTTGAACCACATGACACAGATTTACAAAACTGAATTGGTGCGTACAGAACTTTATTGGATAATAACCATAATAATAATAATAATATTTTATTTATCTAATAATAAATATATATCTAAAGAAAGTGTTGATTATCCTTTATAAGCTGAAACTTTTCAAACAATCAACACACAAAAAACATTCAATCACAAAATGACTAATGAATTCTTATTGTTATACTAACAATATGGTAATCCACCTGTAAAATAATAACTTTAATAATGACTGTAGTCATTTTGAATAAATGTTGTTTTACAGCAGTAAATAACTCAATAAAATAAAATAATTTTAGAAAGTCTGGAAAATCATATGTACATAATTACCACAGAAATAACACTTGTGGCCAAGAAAAATGTCTTACAATTATTGTCTATTCACAATTAAACTTTATATACAAAAATATATATCAATGTAGCAAAACTGCAAGATATGCAATCTGTCTCTCAAACTTTACAATAGCTAAGTCCCAAACAGAATGCATTAACAACACCTAGTCTTCTTTCAGGTTGAACTTGCTTATTTTAACTCAGTAACTTGCCTATGTCCTGACATTATAGATTACTGTTTTATGTGCTATAATCTGTTTTCCATGAATGACAGTTTAACTAGTTTAGATAATTCCCTGCTTTTATTAACCTCAATATTGTTGCTAAGTATATAATAATAATGCATGCTCATCTCATTTCTGTTATATCTTGTGACTAGAATGTTCTTTTGTTGTATAAATTTAGGTGACTCAAAGAACTATTATTTTATACCTGATGATGATCTAAGTAAGTCAGTCAAAAGACGAAGACACATTAAAATACATTTTATATTAATTTTGTGGTTTTTTAATTTATGCTAAAAGTTAACATTACTTTTACTTGAAAATGTATTTCAGAGATACTTACCTCTGTGCACCATTAAAAGCTATTACCTCACAACTGCCTTGGAATTTCCTGTGCATGCAACAAGCCTTAAACTCCCACCCCCTACATGTGTCTACATGTATTGCAGCAGCCTGTGATGTAATCATCTTAATGCTGTAGCCCTCCACTGATAAGAGGCCAATCAGTCCAAACTGTACAGGACACAAAAGAAGAGTGAAGGTAATAATTGCCAATTCCTGTACAGACAGGGCCAGGAAAAGCCATACAATCACATAATAACAGAAATGAAGGCTCAGAAGATGCAGGTGCCAAGCAAAGGAGCAACTGGTTAAGCTGAAACATAACAAGCCTTAGCTAGCTGAAGAGAAGGGCACGGAACTGAAAGACACGGCCATTGAGAACAAAATGTAGAATGGAACACAGGACAAATACAAATGTGACGGAAAGCATTTGTAATGACCACCTTGATTAAACACAACCTGGGAGTGAAGGCCCAATGTAGATGGAGTCCTCCAACTGGAATCGAGGAACAAGGAGAAAGGAATTCAGAGACTACAAGTCGATAACAGGACACCAAACCCATGAATTCATGGGATCAATGAAAAGATGGGAATAAAAACCCAGAGTAGGGTGGGATACAAGTTATATAGCTCCTGCTGCGAATAAAGAGACATCACACCCTGAAGATTAAAAAATTCAGAGTATCAATTGGAAGAGAAGAGAAAAGAGGATGATGAGAACAAAGAGGTGGAGTATGAAAGAGGAGAGAGAAGCGATGAGAAAGAATGTGCAGAACCCACCTAAGAGTCACTGGAGAAGGAAAAATACTGGAAAGTAAAGTAGAAGAATTGGGCAGTGATGGGACTAGAACCAAGAATCATTTCCAAAGATCAGTTAGTGCTGAGAGCTGCATTGGTTAATTGTGCAGGAGGATGGATGACAAAAAGAAGTGAGAGAGCAAGGATCAAAGATAGGAATTGCAGACTGTCTGTTCTGAAAGAGCACAGCCCACCAAGGAAGAATGACACAATTGAAGGTGGGATGCTGTGGTAAGGATCAAAGATAGGAATTGCAGACTGTCTGTTCTGAAAGAGCACAGCCCACCAAGGAAGAATGACACAATTGAAGGTGGGATGCTGTGGTAAGGATCAAAGCTTGGCAGCATACTGTACAGAAAGTTGCAAACTGCAGGAGGAGGGGAAGAGGAGGCTTGTGGGACTCAGTGTACAAACTCTGGACTGGAGAAGTGCAGAAAGCCCCCCATCCAGAGTTGAAGTCCCAGATCATGAATGGCATTCAGCATCTTTAAGGCTGAGGTCCTGACAGAACAATAGACCAGAGACCCATAGTCCAGTTTGGATTGAATAAGGGCACGATAGATCTTGAGCACAGAACATTGATCCACTCCCCAAAAGATGGAAGAGAAGACACAGAGGATGTTCAGTGCCCTTGTATACTTGACGTGTAGCTGCTTTATGTGAGGAATGAAAGTAAGCTTACAATCAAAGATAAGCCCCAAGAACTTTGCTGCAGGAACCACGGAAAGAACAACATCACAGAGACAGAGCTAGAGATTGGGGTGTAGACCCAGTTGGTGGCAAAAATGCATGCAAACGGTTTTGGAAAAAGAAAAGGTAAAACTGTTGGTTGTAGCCCACTTCAACAAGCGATTGAGGGCAGTCTGATGCTGCTGTTCAATAAACTTCATGTTCGATGACCTACATGAGATGTGAAAGTCGTCGACATTCGAGTCTGTTAGCAACAGTAGGAGGAAGTTCTGAGTGACAGCATTGATCTTGATACTGAAAATTGTGACACTCAAGACACAGTCCTGAGGGAGTCCAAGTTCCTGTGTGAAAGAACTGGAAAGTATCGAACCCAAACAGACTAGGTATCGTCTGTCGAGTAAAAAGTTCTGAATAGAAATGGGTAGATGGCCATGCAACCCATATGAGTGGAGGTCCTGCAAAATGCCATATCTGCACATAGTGTCATGAGCCTTCTCAAGATTGAAGAAAACAGAAACAGGTTGGGCAAAAGAGGGTTGTTTGATTCAAGGAACCAAACAAGATGAGCATTAACCATCCTATGACCTAACAGAGACAGAGTCAAAACAATTGGATGATAATTAGAAGGAATCTTGGGATCCTTCCCAGGCTTAGAGAAAGGAAGGACAACAGCCCGACACCAAGAATAAGGAAAAATGTTCTCCTGCAAATCCAGTTAAAAACAACCAGGAGATAGGCAGGAGAGAGATGGCATAGCATCTCATAGTGAACATCCTCAGGTCTGAGCGATGTACTGCTAGACTGATAACGAGCAATTTTGAGTTCCACCAGTGTAAGGGGGTGATTATAGTCATAGAGATGATGATGGCCAAGAAGACAGGGGAAGAAACAGTGAGTGCTGGATGCACAAGAAAGGCTCTCACAGAGAGTATCGGCAATGTTCTGTAAATCAGCAACTTCCTGGCCAATGGAAAGGGAGTGGGAAGATTACCTCCCACTGCCCTTCCGAATCTTGTCCCATATGACTTTCGAACTGGCGGTAGAAGAAATGCTAGTTGTGAACTTAATTCCCAATTCCTTTTGGCTTTGGCATCTGTTACGTATTACAATTTCAAATAGCCTAAAACTGAGTTAAATTGTAAATTAGCTTTAGTAGTTAAATAAATGCCGATATACACCCAATTTATGATTGACACATACAGTTTTATTTATTTTTTAATACAAAAAAATTTTATAATACAAAAAATAATACAATTTACAATAAGAGATATTACAAATAGTAATTACAAACAATGATTTATATACAAAAGTTTTACAAACTTACAAACAATATTGAGTCTTCTTTCTGGTCTGAAACTTCCTTGATGTTTTATCAAGGGTTCATGATGAGAATTAATTTCGAGTTGATGTAGGTACAATTCACTTAATAAGGAGCTAACTAGCTCTGTAGTCTTTCCTGATCACATAGCAATTTTTTCCCCCGGTGAATTTAGATAATGTTTTTGTAAAAATACTAATGCCAATGTAAATCCACTAAAGTCGATTGGTTTATAATGTTCAAAATTTATAAATATTCCTGGTCAAATACCTGAAGTTTCCCAATTAATAATCATTATAACAATCACAGTTATAGCTTCTGAAGTTTATAGTATACCAAGTATAGCAAACCAATAACAGATACTGTTTTTTTGTGCATCGCGTTGGTTATATTTATAGGCATGTGGAGAGTTTCTCAAAATTTCAGTTTATGTGACAATATTGATGTTACACTAGTGTTTATGTACATACATATATTGTTGATTC